AGAATCAGGGGAAACATAGTGGAAAGCTGGAATTCCAACCCTGCCCAGAAATAATGAAGAGCTCTCCACCTTGGGTGTCAAGGGAAGCCAAATGGGAAACCTGGACTTGTACACCCACCTGGCAATAATGAAATTATGTCCTACCTTCCTCATCTGGAATGAAGTCAGAGGAAACCAGCTAAAATAGGTTTAAATAAGAACAAAATTCTCAAAACATAATACTAAAAATGTCAACTTTTCAACTGAGAATCACTCATATTGACCAGAAAAATCTCAAACTGAATGAAAAAAGAAAAGGTACCAAGACTGAGATAACAATGATAATTATCCAACAAAGATTTTGAATGAGCCATCAGAAAAAAATAGCTCCAACAAGGAGGTCTCAGCGAAAAACACAGAAGATATGAAGAAGACCCAAATGGAAATTTTAGACGTGAAAAATACAATAACCAAAATAAAAAAAAAAAAACTCAGTGGATGGCCTCAACAACAGAACACAGGGGACAGAGGCAAGAATCAGTGAAATGGAACAAAGAAGAATAGAAATTACCCAATCAGAATAATATAGACAAAATTGACTGCGAAAAAAGTGCCTCGGGGACCTGCAGGATTATAAAAGAATCGACATTCCTGTCATCAGAAAACAAGAAGGAGGGAAGAGGATGGAATAATGGAATATTATTCAGCCATAAAAAAGAAGGCAATCTTGCCACTTGCGACAATATGGATGGACCTTGAGGGCATTATGCTAAGTGAAAAAAAGTCAAAAACAAACACTGTATGATCTCACTTATATGTGGAATCTAAAAAACAAAAACACCAAACACATTGATATAGGGAACAGCAGATTCGTGGTGGCGGAGGTGAGGTGCAAAATGAGTAAGCAGGATCAAAAGGTACAAACTTCCAGGTATAAAATAAATAAGTCATGGGTATATAATGTACAGCATGGTCACTATAGTTAATAATTCTGTATCATACATTTGAAAATTGCTAAGGGAGTAAATCTCAAAAGTTCTCATCACAAGAAAAAAAATTCTGTAACTATGTATGGTGACAGATGTTAACTAGATTTATTGCGGTGATCATTTCACAATACATCCATCCCTTGATTTACGTGTTTTTTTATACATGGTAAATATTCCCCCCCGTTTACGCAGACTTTTTATACATGGTTTCCATTTATGTGGTCCCATTTTACGCAGTTCTTTCTTTTTCATTTCCGTTATTGGCGATTACTCTTTCTAAAAAACAAAAGCTTAACTCGGCAACATACAAAGAATACTTACTAATGCACAATTATTAATGATCTTCCCATTCACCGGATGGCAAATAAAAAAGCATGGATGACTACTAATGTTTTGCTGTAGAAGCTGAAAATTATATAAAGGAAAAATGTCTTCCTTTTAAAATATTTTTACTTTTAGATAATGCACCTGGTCATCCACACAATTTAGAACATCCAAATATTAAAGTTGTATATTTGCCACCAAATACAACTTCCTTCATCCAATCTTTAGATCAAGGTATTATTTCCACCTTTAAGAGTAATTATATTAAACAGAGTTTTAATGATATTTTTAATAACGTTGAAGATAACAAATCACAGTTACAGAAGCCTGGGATAAATGCACAATCTTAAGTTGTATCAAGAATATTGCTTTAGCTTTGAGTGATATAAAACCATCAACTTTAAATGCTTGCTGGAAAGCAATATGGCCAGAAGTGGTTATATTAGGGAATATGGTTTCAACAACTGAAGAGGGATTAACTGCCATTATTAATTTATTAAATAAATTTCAAGAAGAAGGCTCTGGTTAAATAAATAAATCTAAAAAATTAAAATAAAATGAAATGAAATGAAGAAGGCTCCGGCAATTCGAATGTAGATATTAACAAATTACTAGTTGATCATGAATTAACTGATAATGAATTAATTCACTTAATATCAGAAGCCCATCCTGCCAATGAAGATAGCAGTGACCTTGAACCAGTTTTATTCACTGCAGAAAATATTTACAATGCTCTTCAATTGTCCACAAAACTGGAAACTGCAATTCTAGATATTGATCCAAACATCCAACGAGGCTTAAAATTTCAAAAAGATTTTTTTAAATGTTGCAGTGAATATCGAAGAATTGATAAAAACTTAGCAGAAAATGCGGTTGGAAAAAGATCATCTAAAAACATAAATAACGAAACTGAAGTAGTACTTCCAAACATTTCGAGCGATGAAGACAGTTACTTTGTGCCAATTAAAAAGAAGTCGATTGCTTTAGATTACAGTATAGACATCAACCACAAATAAAATTTATTTTGGTTTTCTCAATTTTCATTAGCAATTTTTTTGTAAAAATATTTGAAATAAATATTTTTATGGCTTATATCAGCCTATTTCTTTAGTATTTTCTTTTCATATTGGTGGGCTCTTTTTGCGTGGTTTTCTATGTAAATCGAGGGACTGGTATATACACAAATATTGAATTACTATGTTATATAATGGAAATTAATATAACATTGTAAGTCAATTATACCTAAATTTTTAAAACGACAGAATGGTATTGATGAAAGATTAGATAAATATATCAACGAAACAAAAAGAGAGCCAGAAAATAGACCCACATAAATACGGTCAACTGATATTTGACAAAGAAGCAAAACAACTCAATGGAAAAAGAATAGCTTTTTCAGCAAATGATGCTGAAACAACTGGACATCTGTTAGCAAAAAAAAGTCTAGATGTAGTCCTTATACCTTTTACAAAAATTAACTCGTAATGGATCTTAGACCTAAATGCAAAATGCAAAAGTATAAAACTTCTACAAGATAACAGAAGAAAATCTAAGTAACCTTGTGTTTGGTGATGTTTTATAATACAACACCAAGAGCATGATTCGTGAAGAAAAAATGACAAGTTGGACTTTATTAAAATTTAAAAATTTCCTGCTCTGTGAAAGACATTGTTAAGATAATAAAGAGACAAGCCACAGAATGGAGAAAATGTTTACAAAATACATATCTGATAAAGGACTTGTACTTAAAATATACCAAAAAAACCTCATCAAAACTCAACGAAATGTACACCTGAAAATTATATAATTGTATTAACCAATGTTACCCCCATAAACTTAATTTTAAAAAATTAAGTTGTATTTTTTTAAAAAGGCCTGTGCAAGATTGTTTCTACTCTGTGCAGCACATCTATGCCTCTTGCTGGTGTAAAGCCTTATACTGGACTCATCTTGAAAGATAGGCTATAACCAAGTGAAAAAAGTGGTGTGCGATGGCAGAAACAGAAAATCAAGAGAAGATGGGAAGCAGGAAGCTGCTTCCCCCTAAAAATAAAAAAATAAAATAAATTAAAAAAGTAAAACTCAACGATAAGAAAACAACCCAACTGAAAAATGGGCAAAAGAGCTGAACAGACACGTCACCAAAGAAGATACACAGATGGCAAATAAGTATGTAAAACTATGTTCAACATCATTTTTCATTAGGAAATTGCAAATAAAACAATGAGATACCACTACATAACCATTCGAATGGTTAAAATAAAAAAATAAACTGATAATAGCAAATGCTGGCAAGGAAGTGGAATAATAGGAATGCTTATTTGGAGCATTGGAAGATAGTTTGGCAGTTTCTTATAAAGCTAAATAGTTTTACCATGTGACCCAGCAATTGCCCTCTTAGTTATTTACCCAAATGAACTGAAAACTTATGTCCACACAAAAACCTGTACATAGATGTTTACAGCAGCTTTATTCATAACTGCCAAAAACTGGGAACAACCAAGATGTCCTTCAATAAGTAAATGAAAAGCAAGCTGTGATACATCCGAACAATGGAACACTATTCAGTGATAAAAATAAATGAGTCATCAAGCCATGAAAAGACATGGAGGAATCTTAAATGCAAATTGCTAAGTAAAAGAAGTCAATCTGAAAAGGCTGTAGGCTGTATGATTCCAACTATATGACATTTTAGAAAAGGCAAAACTATAGAAACAGTAAAATAAATAAATAAATAAAAATCAGTGGTTGCCAGAGGTTCGGAGAGAGGTAGAAGGATGAATAGCTGAAGCACAGATTAAACTGTTCTGTATGAAACTATAATAGTGGATCTATATCATTATGTATTTGTCAAAACCCAAAGAATGTACAACACAGTGAACCTTACTATAAACTGTAGACTATAATTAATAATGATGATTTGATATTGGTTAATTGTAGCAAATGTATCACACTAATACAGGATATTAAAAAATTGGGAAAATTGTGTCGAAAGAGGGGAGCAGAATGGTATATGGAATTATAGGTACTATTTTCTCAATCATTCTGTAAATCTAAGACTGTACTAAGAAATTAAGTCAATTAATTATTTTAAATGTACTTAGCATACAATCCTGCACTTGCACTGATGTGCATTAATTCCATACAAAAACCTTACACAAATAATCACAGCATCTTTATTCATAATAGCCAAAAACTGGAACTAACCAAGATGTCCTTCAACTAGTGACTGGTTAAGAAAACTGTGGTACATCCATACCATGGAATATTATCCAGTAATAAAAAGGAACTAACTATTCATATATGTAGCAATCTGGATGACTCTAGGGAGAATTATGCTGAGTAAAAGCAAGCCAGTCCCAAGAGGTTACATGCTGTATGATTCCATTTATATAACATTCTTGAAATGACAAAATTATAGAACTAGAGCACAGACTGGTGGTTGCCAGGAGTTAAAGAGGGAGTGAAGGAGGAGGGAAGTGGTTGTAGCTATTAAAAGGCAACATGAGGGATCCTTGTAGTGATAGAAATTTTCTGTATGTAAATATCCTGGTTGTGAATCATATCAAGGGTCTACACAATGTTACCATTGGGGGATACTGGGTAAACAGTGCATTATATTTGAATCTACAACTATCTAAAAATTAAAATTTATCTAAAAAAATAAAAGAAAGAAACAATAGGAAAAAGTAGGATCTTCCTCCTTACCTTAAATGATGTGCCAGGTTGTCCTGGAACCAGGGCAGAGAATCTTTGGGGTGATTTCCCTTCAGTTGGCATGTTCGCCCTGGGTCTCAGCCCACCTTCCAAAGCTGAAGGAGTGTCTGTATGTGGACTGCAGTCAGAATACATGGAAGATCCTGCCGCCTCCAGTAAGGGGAAAGCTCAACAGCTCCATAGAGACACCAAGAAATTCTAAAAGGACATTATCCATGTCATCAATATCATTCTACATTCATCCTACAAAGTTTAGCAACCCCAACTCTGAGTGTCAGAGTGGATTATGGAAACACTCATAATATTTGGAATCAAATTAATGAGCTTAGAGTCCCTTATTCTTGTGTGGCTCCACAGGAGACTTTGCACCTGACCCAGCCAGCTCGCCCCTCAATTCCAGGTTCAAGACAGATCTGGGTTTGCAAGGAGGAAGAAACTGGGGCAGTGAATGGTGCTGAAGCCCCATGGGGTGGGCAGGGGAAGAACTTGTCCATGGAAATCTGGTGGTTGACTGTGGAGACAAGAAATCTGGAAATCTGGTCATCTGATCTCTTCTGCCATCATGAATTATTTTGCTATTTTAGGGTGAAAATCTCTCTTAAATTCTTCTATGGGAGGCTCAGCCTCTTCTTTCAAGATGAAGATGGCTCAACATTAACATTACTTATTGAATCAACAAATTAGGGGTGGAGAAAACATGCTGCTATTAACTTACACCAAAAAAAGCATTTGACAGAATTGAGTAGTCATTACTATAAAAACTCAAACTAAAATTAGGGAAGAAATAAATCACTCAAATATCACAAAAATTATTTATGAAACAGTCATGAAATACTGTGCTAAAAACTAAAATAATGAAGCTATTGACATTAAAATTAACAACAAGATAGGGATATCTGATACAACTCAAAATTGTTTTGCTGGCTCTGGCTCACACAATAGAAGATGAAACAATCACAATAAATATTGCAAAGAAAGGAAAATGTAGCTTTCCTTGCCAAGGATATGATTTTATACATAGAAAACCTACCAGACTCTATCAGAATTCATAGGGTAATTTCATAATGGGCTGGATGTAAGATAAAATTATAAGAGCAGACAGTTTTCCCTCTATAACAGAAATCATCAAATGAAAATGGGGAGGACCATTAGTAATGATAGCAAGAAATATATAAAATAAACTTTTTAGGAGCTGGACCTATACAATTAAAAATTTTTTTTAATTGACAAATATAAAATAGTCACACAGACATACCACATCCCTGAGTTAAAAGGTTTAATAAAAATATCAACCCTCCCAAAAGCATTATATTAATGTAAAGAATAAATTAAAAACAAAAATTAAACACAAAGCTCAATAAGATGGAGTATATAAAATTTTGTGGAATGCAGCTAAAGAGATTCTTAAAGGGAAATTCATGTTCTTAAATGATTTTTTTTTAAACAAAGAAAGGCTGAACGTTAATGAATTAACATCCAATTTAAGAAGTTAGATGAAGAGAAAATAGTTCAGGTAGGAGCAGAAATTAAGGAAATAGAAAACAAAGGTATATCAGAGAAGATCAACAGGCCAAAAGTTGGTTCTTTAGAAAGACTAATAAAATTAGCGAACCTCTGAGAAGACTGATGAATGACAAAATCTAAACATGCACACACTATTAAGATTTGACAAGACGCAGCAAGGAACCTAAAAACTATCCCAGAAGACCCCATCCCTGACCCGCATAGACTCCTATTCACTAAATTCTTTAATTTCCTACAAATTGACAGTGTATCATTCCCAAAAGCCAACAAAGCCATCGCCTCAAAATCACCTTAGTAACTGTCACGCCATAAACCCTCGTGTACTCGCTTTAACGCAACGCGACAGCAAGACTTAAAAGGCTTCTGAGGGCCACTTCTGTTCTCTGTCATCACCTCTGCCATTGCCCCTTCTGGGGCTGTTGGTTTTGCACACGATCAGAAAGGACGTGAGGCTGTGGTCTACTCACTCTGAACCAGGTGCAATTATGGATCAGCTCAGACTTTGTCCATGAGTGACGTTGTTGGGCGGGGAATATGGCTGCGCCCAGGCATTCCTCGATGAGAGCCGCCATCTTAGTGTCCATTCCGTACAGTGGGCTGTTCCACAGAAAGCAGGGGCGTGGGGTGTTGTTCGGGGGTAGAAACCTTCTGAAGACAAGCTTCCGGGAGCAGCTGGTCTTTGGAACTGGGTTCTAAAGGTCTGTGCAGTTTAAAGACGCAGAGGTGGCAGCCCCCATCCCTAGGGGGAGGGAAGATGTGTCCAGATTTTCAAGGGAGATACCACTGGGGAGAGGGAGAAAGGTCAGGATTACAGTTTCCTCCTGGGAGATGTCACTAGGAAGAAAGAAGTTAGTATGGTACAGTCCCCCTCCTGGCCGATACCACTGGGCAAGAGAGGGAAGGAGTCAGGGTGGTACAATCTTCTCCTTGGAGATACCACTAGCAAGAAGGGAGGAAAGCCAGGTTAATGCTGGAGGAGTCAGAGTGGTATAGTTTCCTCTTGATGTGCTGGAATTGGTGTAGAAGAGACTTGAAATCTCCTCCATCTTCATTACCTCCATTACCCCACTAAAATAGTCGCTAGGAATAATAATTATAATACTAGCCTTCGATATGGAGAATTGTTTTTCAGAAAATTGTCAATAGAAAAAAATATTTACAAAAACATTATAAGCGTACTTTCGATGAAAATGTATCTCCAAGACATGCCCCTGATCTCTGCTGTCAACCAGGTTGCAACTTCCTAGGCTCTCTTATATGGGAATTAAGGAGCTGCTACTGACTCTTGGGAGAGAAGAGGGAGTTCTGGACTTTCTTCATCTCTGAACTAAACATTCTTCAAAACCTAGTCCAAGTATACCCTCCTGCAGGAAGCCTTCTCTGACAAGAGGTAGAAAGGGCTCTTTTCCCTGCTACAGGAGTTTCAAACCCAACAGGTAGTCCCTGGCTAAGTTTGGGTATAGGTTGCTGAGTACCCTAAGGACATTCAGATCTCTCGGCCTCAGCTCAGCAATCAGGAGAGTTAGATTGTCAGCCACCCAGACTATCGCATTTTCTCTGTCTCCTCTGCAATATTTGTGAATTAAACGAGAGACAGAATGGCAAATGTGAGAACATTGCTGTAACATACACACTTCTACAGACATTTCCAAAATTTAATATTGTCATAACTTCTGGTCAACATCTCAAATCCTGGACTCTGCAAACTTCCACCATCAATGCCTCCTGGGCTGATCTCAAACCTGGGCCTTTCTTAACTCTGCCTACACCTATGTTGTACCCTTATATTCTGGATTCCTGTCCTCTAACGATTCCATTATTAACGATTCCATTATTAACGTCCCTATATTTTGACCCTGAATCTAAAATGCTGCTAACTCTTCCACCATATGTGCCCTTTATAGACTGAGAGACTAAGCATATGTTAATTCTCCACTATCGATGTCTCTCTGTTCTAGATCTCAACTATTAGACCATGGTTAACTTTTCAACCATCAAGGTCCTTTTGGTTATACCTCCAAAACAGACCTCTGTTACAGATGCCTGGTTTCAAGTTCAAACCAGAGGGGAAATGATGTTTGTAAAGTAACAGAGGCCCAAGTTAAAGAACTGGTCCTGAAGTCCATTGAAGGTAGAAGTTCACTCATGATAGAAGACTGCTTATAAGCCTGGGCTTATGGCCTATAAAACAAGATGGTGATTTCTGACAAAATCATTAACTGACATTTTAAGATCAAACCAAGAAGATTGATGATGGAAAAGTTAATATTTTTCTAGGATAGAGACATGGAAGAATTAATGGATGCCCAGGGTTTGAGGTCAGAAGTGATGGTTTGTTGCTTCAGAGATTAGACAATAAAAGGCCTCAGCTACCATTTTGTGTGTTCATTTTCTCTTCTTTCTCCCTCCAAACCCCTCTCTCTCTCCCTTCCTCCTCCCTCCCTCCCTCATCACTTCCTCTGGGAGGAGCTAGCTGCTGTGTCACAATGACACTCAGGAAGCCTTTGAAGAGACCCATGTGCCAAGTAATACTGCCAGTAGCCAGTGAGGAACTGAGGCCTCTAGCCTGTAGTCATATGAATGAGCCATCTTGGAAGTGAAACTTCCAGCCTCAGCTGACTGCAACCCCATTTGATAACTACAACATTAGGAGAGACCCTGATGTTGGAGAGGATGTGGAGAAATAGGAACCCTTATACACTGCCATTGGGACTGCAAATTGGTACAGTCACTCTGGAAAACAGTATGGAGGTTCCTCAAAAAACTAAGAATTGATCTACCACATGACCCAGCAATCGTCCTTTACTGGGTATCTACTCCAAAAATTTGAAAGCATAATTCTGTAGATATATGCACTCCAATGTTCATAGCAGCATTATTCATGATGGCCAAGAAATACTGCCACTTGCGACAACATAGATGAACCTCGAGATAATCATGCTAAGCGAAATAAGCCAGACAGAAAAAGTTGAAAATCACATGATATCATTTACACGTGGGATATAAACCTAAAAGCAACAAACGAACAGGACAAACAAACAGAGGCTCATGGACATGGACAATAGACTAGTGGTAGAGGGAAAGAAGGAGTAGAGGGGAGTTAGGTAGGATAAAAGGGGTCAAATATGTGATGACAGAAAGAAATCTAACCATGGGAGGTGAACACACAATGTAAATACATATATATGCCTTACTATTAAAATATACAGCCGAAACTTATTGGATTTCGTTAACCAATGTCGCCATAAAAAAATTAATTAATTTAAAAAATAAGTTAAAAAAAAAGAGAGAGACCCTGAGACAGAACCACTCAGCTAAGCCATTCCCAACTTCTTGATTCCACAGACATTGTGAGATTATAAATGTTGTTTTAAGCTTCTATGTTTAAGGGTAATTTATTATGCAGTAATATATAACTAATACGGGCTTTTAAAGTTTTGATATTTTGTTCATCATTGGTTTTTGTATTAATTTTAACTTTTAAAAATAATGCACCAAAATGCTATTTGTCTTGTTTACTGAGTTTTTTTGGCATCCTCTTAAAATTTGCACATTGAGGTGAGTGCTTCAGTTGCCTCACCCTAGTCC